AATGGCAAGCAAACAACAGGGCTTGGCACAAAAAGCACAGGATCCAAAGTGCGGAAAACAGCGTAGGCCTGGATCTCAGCAGAGAACACCCGAAGACCAGTGCCAGAAATTTCGTGACGCGCTATCTTGCGCGTGACCCCACTCCCCATGACTTCAGGTATGTATTGCAGGCTGCTGATGCCGACGGCAAAGTCTCAGCAGAGCTGCATGGGCCCTACTTCAACAGAAATATTTATGTGGGGATGCCGAGCGACACAGAGAAAGAAGCTGAAAAGTCTGCTGCAGAGCTTTTCTCCATAACAAAGACGTTCAAGATGCTGCAAAACATCTCCCGCCAACGATGAAGAGCATCAAGAAAGGCAGCAAGGCCGACCCCCGCTTAAAATGGATGCTACGTGGGAGTGGGCAGTCGCTCAATGAACTTTGCTGTCAGCAGTACATCGAAGCTCGGGAGAGGGACTTGCACAGTTCCATGTGAGATGGTATCCTTATGCAGCTTGGATCGACAGGAGCAGTGCCGGAAAAAACGTGTGATGCATGTCTTGTGACGACCCGAGTAAGCCCAAAGAGTCAGGTGCTAGAGCTGAAGAGGTTGTTTAGGGTTGAGGGTAGCGGGCAGCAGCATGGTTGAGTAGGTTAGTAGATATGCCAGGGTTGCTTTCGTCTTTGGACAGGTGAAAGTGACCAGTACTCAGGAATGAAAAACCCGGTTGTGGAAACAATCTTCTACTTCTCAAACCGTTTTTGGAAATTTGCCCTTGATTCTTGATTCAAAGATGCTAGAACTTGTCCTGGCCCGTTGCACACGTGCGGCCAAGAATGGTCACCGGCCAATGCAAAGAGTGAGGGAGCCTGGCACAGTCAAGTTTCACGTCACGAAAATCCTGCAGCATTCAATTCTCCGGAGAGCCTGTGCATGGAACTCAGATCAATTGGGGAAATTTTTTCCCCAATTGTTTAGTACAATCTCTGAGCTCCCGATGTCAAGATTTGTCCGCTGATTCCATTTATTTGAATCCGACAGGTGTCTAGGTTTTACACATAATTTCACGCTTTCAGATTGATTTGCATAGACTTAGGCTTCACGCAGTATGCAGCTCCACATTTTTTGGTTATCATGCCAGTTGTATCACTGTTTGGGGTTGACTTTTCAAAAGGCCGCAAGTGAGTGGGATGATTTTCAACCGCAGCGTGAACGCATCAAGCGGCAGTGGTTACTCAAACGTCCCGCCCAACAATCAGAAAGTCGAAATGACGACTACCCCGCGACGATCTTGGAAATGATTTTTCACATGATTACATGCATCTTCCTGTCATGATGTTGTCCTCTGAGCGGAACGAGTTTCGATGTGTAATGATAGGTCGATGTTGTCTCGAATGTAGGTCACATAACTGATGTGCAACATGTGTTGTCGATGCCCGTTAATTCTGGTTGTAGATTATAGCCCACATTGTAGCCCTAATCCCTATAAATTACCCTACAATCCCAGTTTCCATCTGCAAGACTTCAATTTTTACACTTCACCTTGCCGCAGCTGTGGGCTTGGATCACTAAATACGTGTTTGCGTGTTGCGGGGCAGCGCTGCCTGAATGCAGGCAAGCGCGAATAATCAACCTTGGAAAGCATGCTACCGGGCTCACACCTTCTCCATTTTCGTGGTTTAAGGTTTAGGGTTTAGGGGAGATTTATTCAAGAAGGGGTAAATGCAATACACGGTCTTTGGATGGGGACCGAATCTGGGGATTCGTTGCAGGAGGGCGACCAACTTTTCGAGCAATTTGATGCCGACCTCGAAGGCCGGAGGGATTTGCTGTGGCCACGTCAATTTTGCTGAAACTTGGTGCATTCTTCCAAGATGTTGCTCAACTGGGATTGGTTTTTAGCCCCGAGTTGGGTTGACAGGATTTTACAATGGCACAAAGGCCACGGTGAACTTGCAGCCCGGGGCCAAGCTTTAGGAGCAACCAGTTTTCATAGTCTGCGAAATTTTAATATTACGATTCGTATTACTACAAGTCATACTATGATGGCCCCTAAACCCTAAACCCTAAACCTTAAACCTTAAATCCTAAACCCTAAACCTTAATTGTTACTATTGTCCTTCACCTTCAGGCAGCAGCCGATGTCTTTTGGCGGCTTCGAGGCGGAGATGTGAAGTGTGTAACAAATGAGCCATAGTCCGAACTCCTCAAAGGGGTCTATATGGGCGGTTGTCAAAACTATGGTCCCTTTTTGGGTAGCCTACATATTAGGTGCCGTATAATAAAAGGGATCCAAAAAGGGACCACAATTTTGACAACCACCCATATAGGAGACTACTCAAAGGGGGTTCCTAAGGGAGATACTAGGAGTTTAGAAGTGTGCAACGCATGAGATTTTACGTGTCCAGCTCGGCAGGAGCCGCCCAAGACCGCAGCAAAAGAGCCGGTGCAAGCCTGGAATGACAATGTCTCCCACGGATTAGTTTCATGTACCGTTGAACAGGCTGATGCTTCTTCCAATGCTTCCGCTTTTGCAGGAATGCTAGGCGCAGATCTTTGGGACTCCTTTTCAAATGGGTTGTTCCCCAAATCCGGGGCCCCTTTTGGCTATACTCTATAGTGCGGTACCTAGTCTTTAGGGGTACCAAAATCGGATCCCTGATTTTGGGAACTACCCAGATGTTTTGGACTCCTTGTCAAGTAGCCTCCGAGACGTCTCGCAGCCAGGCCGCCTGAGCTTGTTGCAAACAATGGTGGGAGGCCTCATCGGTCCACTTCCCAGCAGAGCGCCATAGCACATCAGGGTCTGAAGAAATGGCTAATACCAAGGTGCTTCCGCTACTGAGCAAGTAGTTGGCGCAGCAGTGCCCACGACGTTGGGATCTGTGTCCCAGCTGCAGGGCAATGGGCTGGCTGTTCCATGTCAAGTATGAGGCTTGCTCTAGTTTGTGATTCTTTTTCGCATCATGTTTGGGATAAACAGTATAGTCCCCCTTAAGTAGATAGAATATGGGGTATATGGGGATCCTATTATAATATACCCAACGCCATCTTCTATCTACTTAAGGGGGGCTATATCCCCTTATGATAACTACGCGCATAAGCCCCATAGCAGCGCCCATGCCCCTTAGGGCCCTACCTCGACCATTGAGCCGGAACCAAGCTTAACTTTGAGCCCTGAACCCAAGACTCCAACCCTAAATCCTAAACCCTTAACCCATAAACCCTAAACCCTAAAGCCTAAGCCCTAGACCCTAACACCCTAAAACCCCCAAACCCTAAAACCCTAAACCATATGACATCATTGCATCGAATAGACTGTATGACTTGCTGCAGGTGAAAGACCAGGCCCGGGCAACAACCGTGTCGGCAAAAAAAAAGGTGTCGGTACCTTGAAGCCTGAAAGTTGGATGCCTTGGGTCATAATGAGCCATAGTCTATACTCCTAATAGCCGACTTAGTGACCCCTATGATACTCCCCTACATAAGCCCCTTTAAGGAGTTCAGACTGTAGCTCACTGGAGCCTGGAGATTTTGAGAATCTCTTGTTTGGCCTCTGTGTGTTGTGCGCCAGGCTAGCAGCTTCATGTCAAAAGCGCAGTCTGCGACCTGGCCTGGGCACTGAGCTGCTTCTGTCCTGGCTGCAAGCACCGCTAGGCCATGGCGGCAATTCGTGTGGCCACTTTCTGTACCTCGGCCTAGCCAGACTAGAATATATTATAATATACTATAAATATACCATAATATACTATAATAAACCACCATAATATACTATAATATATTATAATATACTATAGTATACTATAATATACCAAATACCACAATATACTATAATATATCATAAGCATGGTGTCTTTCGATGTGTCTTCCGCTGCAAGGTCCCTTCGGCAAATGAAGGCTGCTCACGACTTTCTGCTGGCAGCTTAATCGCCTGAGGTAGTACAAAGAGAGCATTTGGCAGCTCGTGTTCAAGCTGTGCCAAGCAGGCAAATGTCTTTAACTTCCAGACGAACTACGCAATTCTGTTCGTGGTGGGTACCCTGGTCCTTGCCGATGCATCACAATTTGGGTATGCGTTTGACAACATGGACCCACCCTGCAGGACCCGACAATAGTGTCCTCATGATTGCAAGGACCCCTCTGAGGCCCTTAAGCTTGACAATCCCCCCAAACCCAAGCTACAAACCCAGAACCCCAAACCCAAATCCCTAATCCCTAAACCCTAATCCCTAAATCCTAAACCCCAAGCACTAAACCCCAAACCCCAAACCCCCAAAAGCCCCGAAACGTGCAAGGTTCAACTAGTTCTTTCGGTGATTCTTCAGCCTTCCGCCTTGATGTGCATCGTAGTGACCGCCGGGCTCTCTGTCTGTCAGGCGGTTTTGAGGTTGGAGAGTTTCGGGTTCTGGGGTTTTGTGCGTTTTTTTGGGGGGGAGTTTGGGGTTTGGGGGTTCAGGAGTTGGAGTTGGGTGTAGGTTTTAGGGTTTAGGGCCTAGGGTTTGGGGGCGGTTCACAGTTTCGGATTTGGGATTCGGGTTTTGGCGGTCTGGGGTCTATCGCAGGTGGCCATGAGTCGCCAACCTCTGCCAACGTCATGACTTTTCTCAAAGCAACCGGTGTACAGCCCTATCACCTAGACTTCCTACAGATTCATGACAGGGAAAGGTTAGATCCTGAACCCTGAACCCTAAACCCTAAGCCCTAAACCACATGTATTTGCCTATCGCTATTTTGCCTTCTCTGTCTGTCTCTCTCTCTCTCTCTCTCTCTCTCTCTCTCACTCAGCTTATCCTTCCGTACTGTCCCCGGAAGCTTTTTTTCAGAAAGCCCCTGCAAATCCCACCAAATCTGAGAGCAGACCTCTAAACTCAACCAGCGTTTCCTTCAGCTAAACCCTAAACCCGAAACCCTAGGTCATTTTCTGCGTGCAAGGGGTTGCCAAAACAAAAACCAAAACACCCCTGAACCCTAAACCCTAAACCCTAAACCCTAAACCGCTAAACCCTAACAACCCTAGGTCATCACGTGGGTCCTGTTCTTGAAGAAGAATGAAGACCCAGACTGGGCACCCAAGCTTGGGGGGGTCAGGGACCCAGGGCCTGGCCGCCGGTCTCCTGTAAAGTTTAGGGCTTCGGGTTTTAGGG